GGCTGTCGAGTGAACGTAGCCAGGTGACGGCCAGTCCGGGAGCACGTACAGATCGCCACACGCTGCCCTCCAGGAATAAAGGTATCAACCCAGACATCCTGAATGGCAGCGTTGCTCACCAAGTTCGTCGAGAACGTGGGGAGGTGGAGACCTGACAAAGAGCCTGAGGGGACTGCTGGACAAGGGAGGACCGTGGAGGCTCTCGCAACCACTGGGCCCCCAGAGGGGTCAGCCAGTGAGACTGGGACAGGTGCTGTGAGTGGTGTGACTGTGGTGCAATAACAGAAGAAGCAACGTGACGCGCCGGAGTTAAGCGTGAAAGTGTGCAAGACCTCAGCTGAGGCAGGACCTGTGGTAGTAGACGCACTAGCAACTAGAGCGCCGGTAGACTCACGGGCACCTAGAGCTGCAGCAGACTCACTAGCACCTGGAGTGGCAGCAGACTCACTAACACCTGGAGTGGCAGCAGACTGACTAACACCTGGAGTGGCAGCAGACTCACTAACACCAAGAGCAGCGGTCTTAACAGAACGATAACCTCCACCACCAGGATGACCTCGCTGAATAACCCACTCACGAAGCTGCCAAGCGGTGGGGTCGTCCGGGAGAAGCAGTGCCCGCTGCTGTCCACCCCTGGCCGCAGCGACTGCCGCGGAAGTGGCCATGACAGACAGTGACTGTCAGGAGTAGGTCCAGCACCTCCAGCTCCTACAGCGCCAGCAGCACCTCCTGCACTCCCAGCAGCACCTCCTCCACTCCCAGTAGCACAAGTAGCAGCAGCAGCAGCAGTAGTAACAGCAGCAGGGCGGTTCGGTGGGGGTGGGAGGCCGCACCTCCACCACTCCCAGCAGTACTCCCTCCAGTAGCAGCAGTAGCAGGGCGGCTCAGGCAGCAGCAGCAGATCAAGCAGCAGCAGCAGCAGCAGTAGACCGAGTAGCACTAGCTGTAGCAGTAGTAGTTGCAGTAGCAGCATTAGTGACAGCTCGGGCTGGGCGGCGCGGCTCGGACACAGTGGCAGAGCAGCAGTAGCATTAGCTGTAGCAAGTGCACTAGTAGGAGCTGCAGCAGTAGCACTAGCTGTAGCAAGTGAAGTCGTAGGAGCTGCAGTAGTAGTACTAGCTGTAGCAGCAGTAGCTTCAGTCAAGCAGCAGTAGCTTCAGTCAGGAGCAGCTGTAGCAAGTGCTGGAGTAGGAGCTGCAGCAGTAGCACTAGCTGTAGCAAGTGAAGTAGTAGGAGCTGCAGCAGTAGTACTAGCTGTAGCAGCAGTAGCTTCAGTCAGGAGCAGCTGCAGTAAGTGCTGGAGTAGAAGCTGCAGCAGTAGCACTAGCTGTAGCAGCCATAGCTTCAGTCAGTAGCAGCTGTAGCAAGTGCCGTAGTAGCAGCAGCAGCAGTAGCACTAGCTGTAGCAGCACTAGCTTCAGTAGCAGCAGCAGTGAGTAGCGCTAGCTGTAACAGGAGTAGCGTCAGTAGCAGCAGCAGTGAGTAGCGCTAGCTGTAGCAGCAGTAGCAAGGAGGAGCAGCTGCAGAAAGTAGCAGCAGCAGCAAGGAGGAAAAACTGCAGCAAGTAGCAGCAGCAGTTGCAGGGCAGTACAGGCGGCAGCAGCACTGCAGCAGCAGTTCAGGCGCAGCAGTGTAGCAGCAGCAGCAAGTGCAGCAGTAACACGGGCCGCGTGCGGGCCAGGCGCGGGCTTTACGAGCTGGGTGCGGGCCTGACGTGGGCTGTACGGGCTGCGCGACGGCCTGGCGCGGGCTGTATGGGCTTCGCGACGGGCCTACGCGGGCTGTACTGGCAGCTAGGGCGCGGTCAGGGGGGGTCGCACGTGACTAGGAAGGAAAATCGCGTCTAGGGCAGAAAAAGGAACCGTCTCGCCTAGAGCACGGTTTCGAATTTCGCGTTTCTCCTAGGGGCGCGTCTCGGGCAGTAGATCGAAATAGTAGTGGTGGGCCCTTTTAAAAATTCGGTCCTAAGGAGCATTGTGCTCTTACGGTAATACCATGTTAGAATCACTAGCTAGGTGAGGAGTGGGGTTAGGTAAGGGAGAGAGAGTACAAGAGTATCGAGAGAATTGGGTTGTACCCTCTAAGGGATGACCCCTACACAACCTAGAGTGAAATAGACATAGCTCTATGTTTTGACATGTTTCGTAGGTCAACGGCGATGGTCGCAACAGTGGTTGCTGTCGTAGTTGGGCGACCAAGCCCTTGTTCAAAAGGATGTTCCACGCTCCGAGGGTGCATAAAACACTGCAGATATCCGCAAAACCTTCCAATAACATCATTACCCTTTTTTGGGATGAGGCAGCCCTGGACAACTAACTAATTCAGGTGTGAATCAGAGGCACCACCCTGAAAACATTTCACTTCAAGGCCTACTTTCGTAAGTTCAGCAGGGTACGTGGATAATTTGCTGCATTGGTGCAGTGGAGGGTATGGAACAAGCGAGAGCCATGCACGGAGCAAGCCTGACGAGAGGGGCATGGATGCAAGCTAGAGGATGAAAGGGTGACGGGTGGGCAAGGGGCATGCAGATGCGGGGGGGGCAGAAACAAGAAGCACACTGGGGCATAGGTGGCGCAGGCCGGGGCTTACTTTATCAGACATTTTTGGTCTGAATTTCTGGATTCTGAACACATTTTTACTGATTCATCTGATGTCGCAGACATGCTGTTTAATTTCGTCTGATTTTTAAGAGAAGCTTTTTCTATTCATCTGATTTCTCAGACAGCCTTATACAGTTCATCTGAGACTGCAGATATAGTGTCTTTTTCGTCTGAAGGCAAAACTCTCGAAGGATGTCTGCACCTGCCTGGCAGTAGCAGGAGACAAGATTCCAACCGGAAATCTCAGTTTTCACAACTCTCTATTCTACTGGCTGGAGCATTAGGGCTGGTACCTGACTTCCCTATTCATATTTTGATAGTATATTGCTTGCTAGCTTTATATCTTCTCAGAAATCTCAGACAAGTATTTAGGATTCGTCTGAAAAGCTAGACAATGTTACAGCTTTCGTCTGACAATCAGACAAGGAGCCAGGACCCGGTCTTGACATCAGACGGGTCATTTTACTAAAGTTAGCCCGCCGCAGGCTAGAGTAGAGACATGAGTCAGGCAAAGGGGGACGTGGGAACCGGCTTGGGAAAAGGAGGGGGGAGGGAGGGGCATGGGGTGGGGTAGAGCGAGAGGAGGAAGGGGGGAAAGAAACTGTGCAAGGGGTGGTGCATGCTTGTGAGGTGTGCGTGCAGGGGCCAAGATGTGTGGATAAGGAGTGTGGGGTTGGAGCAGGGAAGGGGACAGGCAGGGGAAAGGTGGGGTGTCATAACGCGTGCAATATTACCGTAGGTGGTGAAACTTTGAGCAGCGGGAGGAGCAAGAGCATACACCGTCCTAAGAGAACACCATACCACACCCACATAACCCCACAAATTACACCATAACAAAAGGTACGAAGTTCCTTCTCTTGTACAATACACTATTAACCGGCGTGCGTTGAAGCGTTACGGACCCGCAAAGTAACCAGGGAACAAAATGGGATAAAAAAGAAAGGAGGGGAGGGGAGTGGGGAGAGGATGGGGGAGGTGGAAGATATTCCAAGCAGTGCGGTAAACCACATTGGAGACAATACTGGTAATACCAGACCTCGTATGTACATGGCAGGCTTAATTTCTGTTGCCGTTGCTGCAGCCTTCAATGAACGGCACTGTGTCCCAACAATGCACCTGCACACAACACAGAACAACAGCAAGCCAGGTCCGTGATGCGAACTCTCACAGGCAAGTGAGGTGGTGGTAAGGGAAGGCTAGGTTCCAAGGCCGTTGATAGAAAAGAAACAATCGAGGCAGAGAAAACAAAAAGAGTGGGGAACGAACGAGATGGGGGAAGGGGCGGGAGAATGAGAGGATCGGGGGGGAGGAAGGGGGAGGGGAGGGGAGGGGGGGAGGGGAAGGAGAGGGAAGGGAGGCATGTGGTAACTTTGGAAACCGGCCGCATGAGCACTCACAGGATTGACCGGGCTATTGTTGAGCTTCTCAGCGGCATGAATGCTTGTTCTCCACCTGGTAAGCCTCTGCCTGCGGATACACTCCCCTCCCGCCCCTCCCGCTCCTCCTCCTCCTCGTTCTCCACCATCTCCACTCACACTGCCGCCTCCCACCCCAGCTGCTACCACTGCTCCTTCTGTTCCTGCTGCTTCCTCTGCCTCCTCCGCTTTCCCTAGAACGGTTGCTGCTGCTGTGCTGGGTAGCTGCAAGCACGCCAGTGGCGACTCAGCCTCACTGCATACAAGGCCATTCAACTCAATTAATGAGCACTGCTCCATGCTGCTTGCAGCGGTGGTGCCTGCACGAGAAGGAGTATGGGCATGACCATTAGCATGATCATGGGCATGGGCCGAAATGCATGGCAAGAAGCAGGGTCTCTCAGGTATGAGAGCCGTGTCAGCCGTGGCGTTGGCAGAGGCGGCGGCAGTGGCGGTGGCTGTACCAGTGGTGATGCCGGTGCTTCTCCTGCTGCTACCGCCGGCGCTGATGCTGGTGTGTGTGGCGTGCGTGGTGCGCACAGGGGAATGATCTGAGGGGCAGAGGGAGAAGGAGACGACTTCACAGGGCACCTCGGCCTGGCTTGCAAGGGACACCACCTGCTGTGTGCCCACACCTGCCAATGCTTGCGGTCCCTCCACTGTCACTGCAACCATGGAAACTGTCACTGATACTAGGGCTGCTGATGTAGCAGCAGCGGAAGCGGGAATAACAGTAGCATCGGCAGCAGAAGCAGCAACAAGAGAAGCAGCAGCCGGAGAAAGAAAAGGAAGAGGAACAGGAGGAGAGGACAAGTGAGAGTCACGTAAAGAGCGAGGGCGGGTGCGTGCACACGACCCCCCCCAATGCCTTTTCCCATGGCTGGCAACGCGTACAGGGCCTGCCACGCCTTTACGGGACAAGTATAGGGACTCGGGGTGTGCTGGAGTGGGCACAGCAACAGCTTCCATGGCACTGCTAGGGTGCTCACTGCTTCTGGGGACAGAGCAAGTGGCAGCACCAGTGGCAGAGGCAGGGGCAGCGCAGGTGCCAGTGCCAGTGGCACCGGCAGGGGCAGAGGGGGCGGCGGAGGTGGCAGCGGCAGTCGGAGAAGCAGTGATAGTGGCAGTGGCAGCGGCAGTGGAAGCGGCAGTGGGAATGGGAGTGGCAGTGGCAGTGCAGCTGGTTGCGAGGGCCAGCAAGTGAAGAGACTGCAACACATCCTCCTCTTCCTCCTCCACATCGCCACACTCTTCTTGTCTCTCCCCGCCCTCCTGCTTCTGCAGATCCTCCTTCCCCTTGTCGACTTCCATTGCAGAATCCCCCCCCAAACCTCAACCTCCTTCCCTTTACCCTCGTGTACCCCTCGCTGTCCCCCGACACCCTTTCCCATGCAACAGCGCTCTCCATTCCCTACTCTGCCCTCTTCCATTTCAGCACCACCACTCTCACCGTCCCCACACTCTCCTCCCCCCATCTTTCCCCCACGCCCTCCCCCACCGAAGCTTCCCCCACTGCGCCTCCTACCCAAGCCCTCCATGAACCCACTCGTTCCTATTCCAAACCCCGCCACCACTTTCCTTTGACCTACTGCTTTCCGTTGCGATGGGAGGAAGGGCCTGGTGCGGGCAGCAGACCCCTCTGCTGCACGTATGCACTCTTCCTGCATCCCCAGCTGTGCTTCAGCATGCACATGGGTAGCACCCAGGATAGCTGGCACTACCACTCCACTGCTTCGTTTCTTCCGCTCGAGCTCAATCACCCCTTCTCCTCCTGCTGCTCCTCCTGCTGCTGTTCCTTCTCCTATTGCTCCGCCTCCTCCTCCTCCTCCTCCTCCTCCTCCTCCTGCTGCCGCTGCTTCTCCTGCCGCAGGGGCATCTCTAACAAAATCTTTGAGGCTCTGTAGCGTGTGCACCTCCTCTGGCCTTGCTCCTCCCAGCTCCGTCACAGCAGCAGCACCCGTCCCTCCTTCGACCCTGCAAGGCACCCACACGCCTTCCTCTCTACTCCCTTCCACCACCACTTGCATCATCAGCCCATCTCCTCCTGCCTCCCTGTTGACCTCTTTCGATGCGTGCCCGCTTGATCGCCCCTTCTGCTTTCCCCACGCCATGAGCACATGGGTGCGTGCACTCCACATGCCATCACTCCCACCTGCACCACCATCATCACTACCAAACTTGCCCGCAACATCGCCCTCTCCCGCTGCTGCTCCTGCTGTTTCACCAAACGCCAGCTCCTCACCTCCAACCCTCATCTCAGCCACTCCTACAGCCTCGACCCCACTCTCCCCTGCAGACCTCCCCGCGCAAGGCCCAACCCGTGACTCTGGAAAGAACCCCACTCGCACCTGCACTCGGCAGTCCCTAGCCTTGCCCTCCCACACTCGCATTCTCGACCCCACAGCCTCCCCTTCATCCCCTCCTCTTATGCCTCCCAACCCCTCGCTTTCTAGGACCGCCACTGCTACACACCCCTCCTCACCGGATTCCCCCTTTTCTAGTTCCTTATTGCTCGAGCTAACCACACACCCGTTTCCTTCACGTTCTTCCCCCCCTACCCCAGCTTGCCTCGCATCCCCCGCTTCCCATGCATTCCCCAGGCCATGGGCACGGTTGCATTCAGTCTGCTGGTCTGGAGACCCATCCGTCATCCCAGCAGCGAGCCCGCATGCAAGCAATCCATGCACAAGCGCACCTCCGCCCCTGCCTTCAACCTCCAAGGGTCCGATACAAGGCTCATGTGCACGCGCCCCCCCATGCCCCTGTGCCGCTGCATCTGCTGCCTCTTCCTCTTGCGCCCACTCAAGCGCATGAGCAGGTGCAGGTGCACATGCGTCTGGGTGAGTATGTGCATGTGTGTGTGCACATGCCAGTGTCACTTGATTCGCATGCCCGTGCATGGCATGACTGGCAGGTATCGCATCGTCCGAGTCCCATAGCGCCACCTCAACAGCAGCACTCAGAGCAAATAACCCGTCCAAACCAGCAGCCCCATCCACTCCACACTTCGCACCCAAACTAGGAGCATCAGCAACCCCAGAGGTCCCAGCCACCCCAGAATTCCCTCCTTGTAAACAGCATTGAAGGGTGTCAGAACCCCCTGCCTCCGTCCCGTATGCCTCGCCTTTCTCCTCCCAACCACACTCCACACCCTTAACCGCCCCTGGCCTGCTTTTCAGCGCCTTGAGTGCATTCTGCCTGGGTCCACACGGCAGAGCACGAGCACAAGAGCCCACGTCCCCCACTCTCCCTCCCTCATCACCCCCCTCGTCGCTTCCACACTTGCGCTCACTCCTACAGCCACTCCTGGTGCTGCTCTCGCCATAACCACAACTAATTGGGATTGCCTTGTCATGACATCGCCTCGTGCTACCCAAGTCCTCGCTCGGTTCTAATAATGCCAACTCTACGCCCCCACTCCCAGACTGCCCGCCAAAAAACCCCTCCACGTCCACGCCTCCCCCCTGCACACTCAGAACAGTACATTCCGGCCCTCCCCCCCACAGCAGCTGCTGCTGCTGCTCCCGCTCCTGCTGCTGCTCCTGCTGCTCTTGCTGCACGTACCCTTGCAGGTGCTGCTGCTCCAGTCCCACTCCGCTACAGTCGTCCAGAGCGAATTCAACCACCACCTGCACTTGCACTGATTGCCCCTCCTCGCCCATCTCCCCGCCGTCACACCCCACCACGCCAACCACCCCCACGTCTACATCCACGCACCCACCACCATCCCCACAGCAAAACCGCTGAATCGCGCCCTCCCTTCCCTCTCCTTCCGCTTCCCCCTGCTCCCCCTCCCCCTCCCCATTCCCCTCTCCATCTCCCTCTCCCACTCCTACTCCCACGCCATTGTTCATAGTAGCAGCAGCATGAGCAGAAGCCAAGGAGTGCTGCCGCATCTTCTCCATTACAAGCTCCTGTGCGGATTGCAGAGGCACAAGAGACTGCTGCGACTCACCAGCAGACTCGCCCACACTGTCACCCACAACCTCGGCCATGAGGTAGAGTGGGCACAAGCCCAAGAGCAGTGCAGAAACGCTGATGATCACCAGCCCCAAGGGCCTTGGTGAAGACATCAGCAGTGTTGGCCCGAAAGGCCACGAAAGCAAGGCGCAGCTGACCACGCTGCTGCAGCTCACGCGCAAGGAAGTAGCGCAGAGCAATGTGCTTTGTTCTGTGCTCCAGTCTCTGCTCGCGACACAAGGCAAGCATTGCCTTGTTGTCGACGTACAGAACCGGAGGAGAACAAGGCCGCTCCCCCAAGTCGGTCAGCAGGTAGGTCAGCCAGTGGAGCTCCTGTGCAGCCAAGAGCAGTCTCACCCCCGAGGAACGGAGGACAGGCAGGGACAGGGTCAGAGACAAGACTCGCAAGGTAGTCGAGGCGGTACACAGCAGCAAAGTCAATGAGCTCAGCTACTAGGGTAGACGCAGCAGGAGACGAGAACGTAGGGTCCGTCTTAACCGTAGCAAGAAGGCGAGTAACAAAAGGACTGGACGCACGAGCAAGGTCAGACGGAGGGTCAGCAACGTCAGGCAAAGAGGACGCAGGAGGTAACGGTAGGACAACACGCTAAGGAACAGAGGAAGGACGGAGTGTCATATCGTGAGTGCCGGGGACAGCCGGAGCACGCTGACGACGAACACGAGGAAAACGAGCACGGACAGCAGCTCTAGGCTTAGGCTCAAGGTCAAAGCTAGACTCAGGCTCTCGACGCTCAGGGGTGGAAGCACGAGTCTCAGGCTCTCGACGCTCAGTCAGGGACTCTGACACCGCAGTGTAAGGAGCAGGAGCAGGCAGTGGGGAGTGTGGTAGCAGCAACGGAGGAGTAGTACCTGCCACAGGGAAGCCAGTAGCACCTGGCTGAAGACTGAGAAGGTGGCGAAGAGCACCAGTAGCTCCACCAGGACCTCCAGCACCCCCAGCACCTCCAGCCCCAGCAGCTCCAGCTGCTCCACGACCTCCAGCACCAGCAGTACCTCCAGTACCTCCAGCACCAGCAGCTCCACGACCTCCAGCACCAGCAGCACCTCCAGTACCTCCAGCACCAGCAGCTCCACCAGGACCAGCAGCACCTGCAACTCCCCGACCTCCAGCACCAGCAGTACCTCCAGTACCTCCAGCACCAGTAGCTCCAGGTCCTCCGGTAGGAGCTCCGACGACACCAACACCAGAAGGACTCGCAACACCCCCAGACTCAGCACCCGAACTCGCAGCACCCCCAGAGGCAGGACCCTCGGTCTCAGCACTCGCAGGCTCAGTACCCTCAGACCCAGCACCCCCAGGCTCAGTACCCTCAGTCCCAGCACCCCCAGGCTCAGTACCCCTAGTCCCAGCACCCCCAGGCTCAGTACCCTCAGTCTCTGCTCGAGTGTCCACAGCAGCAGGCTGCAGAGGCGGCGAAGACGGCAGAGGTGGGAACCCGGGGGGTGTAGCCAGACGAGGAGAGCGGGCACCCCCGGACTCACCACCCCCAGCCCCAGCTCCAGTAGTCTCAGCTCCAGAGTCCACAGCAGCACGCTGCGGAGGCGGCGAAGACGGCCATGGCGGGAAACCCGGGGGGGTCTCCAAGCGAGGAGTGCAGCGAGTGGTCGCCGTGTCGTCGGCGACGGCGTCACCCCCCTCAGGTGAGTCAGAGGAGTTAGAAGAGATCTCAACTGGCTCATCCAAGGGGGGTGGGTCTACCTGGGACACACCTGAGGGAGCAAGACCCTGTGGGGGAAGGGGGTCTACCGGGGGGGGGGACTGGTACCAGGAAGAGAGGTGCGAGAGGGACCGGGTGGGACGCGTGCGGGTGAAGTCGGTAGTAACAGACCGACTCGTCAAAGGTGACATCCTGAGAGGACAGAATACGACACAAGGCAGGGTGGTAGAACTGCCAGGGTGGAGCGTCGGTGGCGAAGCCCAGGAAGACACAGCGGAGCGTGCGAGGGGAGAGCTTGCTCGCTTTGGTATCGCGAACAAGGGAGAGCGCGCCCCAGACCCGAAACGACGACGCATCACCAGGCTTTCCCGTCCAACGGAGTGTGGGCGAGGTCTCTGGAGCAGAGACACGGGGCCAGAGGTTGAGCTGATGCGCGGCGTATCGGACCGCAAACGGCCACAGGAAATGGGGAGCAGCCGCATGGATCATGGAGGCACGAGCAACCTCCATGATCAGGCCAATGCGACGCTCAGCGATCCCATTTTGCTGCGGAGAGGCCGGAAGCGTGAACGACTAGGCGATGCCCTCATCCTGGCAGAACGTCTCAAGGACGCCAGAGCTGAACTCACGACCCCTGTCAGAGTGCAGACGCAGGACTGGGAAGTCCTACTGAAAGCGGTCGTGCAGCTGAAGACGAGTAGCACGGATCCAGGGGATCAAAACACCACTGACGTCCGTCTTGCGACGCAAGGGGAAGACGGTGGTGTAGCGTGTGTAGTTGTCAACAACCAGCAGGAAGTAGCGCTCCTGGTCCGTTCCACCGACGGGGGCCGGGCCCCACACGTCCAGATGGAAAGTCTGCAGAGGAGCAGTGGTCGGAGGAAACTCGGAGGAGTGAGGAGCGGCGCGCTGCCGCCCCTCGACGCAAGGAAGGCACGGCGGCGCAAGCCGCCCCTCGGCGCAAGGAAGGCACGGCGGGGGGCAGGGTCTCAGGGAGGCCAGAGACCAGGAACCGGGAGTGCATGCCGCGCAGACGCTGCAGGGAGGGGTGACCAAGACGGTGGTGCCAGCGCTGAATCTCGTGCGTGAGTACTCGGCACGAGCAAGACGCAGCTAACTGCCCTGACGCAGACGCTCGACTCGACGTAGCTACCTGACCTGACTCAGCCACCTGTGCAGACGCAGTGGTCAGTGTGTACAGACTAGACCCAGGCTGTCGAGTGAACGTAGCCAGGTGACGGCCAGTCCGGGAGCACGTACAGATCGCCACACGCTGCCCTCCAGGAATAAAGGTATCAACCCAGACATCCTGAATGGCAGCGTTGCTCACCAAGTTCGTCGAGAACGTGGGGAGGTGGAGACCTGACAAAGAGCCTGAGGGGACTGCTGGACAAGGGAGGACCGTGGAGGCTCTCGCAACCACTGGGCCCCCAGAGGGGTCAGCCAGTGAGACTGGGACAGGTGCTGTGAGTGGTGTGACTGTGGTGCAATAACAGAAGAAGCAACGTGACGCGCCGGAGTTAAGCGTGAAAGTGTGCAAGACCTCAGCTGAGGCAGGACCTGTGGTAGTAGACGCACTAGCAACTAGAGCGCCGGTAGACTCACGGGCACCTAGAGCTGCAGCAGACTCACTAGCACCTGGAGTGGCAGCAGACTCACTAACACCTGGAGTGGCAGCAGACTGACTAACACCTGGAGTGGCAGCAGACTCACTAACACCAAGAGCAGCGGTCTTAACAGAACGATAACCTCCACCACCAGGATGACCTCGCTGAATAACCCACTCACGAAGCTGCCAAGCCGTGGGGTCGTCCGGGAGAAGCAGTGCCCGCTGCTGTCCACCCCTGGCCGCAGCGACTGCCGCGGAAGTGGCCATGACAGACAGTGACTGTCAGGAGTAGGTCCAGCACCTCCAGCTCCTACAGCGCCAGCAGCACCTCCTGCACTCCCAGCAGCACCTCCTCCACTCCCAGTAGCACAAGTAGCAGCAGCAGCAGCAGTAGTAACAGCAGCAGGGCGGTTCGGTGGGGGTGGGAGGCCGCACCTCCACCACTCCCAGCAGTACTCCCTCCAGTAGCAGCAGTAGCAGGGCGGCTCAGGCAGCAGCAGCAGATCAAGCAGCAGCAGCAGCAGCAGTAGACCGAGTAGCACTAGCTGTAGCAGTAGTAGTTGCAGTAGCAGCATTAGTGACAGCTCGGGCTGGGCGGCGCGGCTCGGACACAGTGGCAGAGCAGCAGTAGCATTAGCTGTAGCAAGTGCACTAGTAGGAGCTGCAGCAGTAGCACTAGCTGTAGCAAGTGAAGTCGTAGGAGCTGCAGTAGTAGTACTAGCTGTAGCAGCAGTAGCTTCAGTCAAGCAGCAGTAGCTTCAGTCAGGAGCAGCTGTAGCAAGTGCTGGAGTAGGAGCTGCAGCAGTAGCACTAGCTGTAGCAAGTGAAGTAGTAGGAGCTGCAGCAGTAGTACTAGCTGTAGCAGCAGTAGCTTCAGTCAGGAGCAGCTGCAGTAAGTGCTGGAGTAGAAGCTGCAGCAGTAGCACTAGCTGTAGCAGCCATAGCTTCAGTCAGTAGCAGCTGTAGCAAGTGCCGTAGTAGCAGCAGCAGCAGTAGCACTAGCTGTAGCAGCACTAGCTTCAGTAGCAGCAGCAGTGAGTAGCGCTAGCTGTAACAGGAGTAGCGTCAGTAGCAGCAGCAGTGAGTAGCGCTAGCTGTAGCAGCAGTAGCAAGGAGGAGCAGCTGCAGAAAGTAGCAGCAGCAGCAAGGAGGAAAAACTGCAGCAAGTAGCAGCAGCAGTTGCAGGGCAGTACAGGCGGCAGCAGCACTGCAGCAGCAGTTCAGGCGCAGCAGTGTAGCAGCAGCAGCAAGTGCAGCAGTAACACGGGCCGCGTGCGGGCCAGGCGCGGGCTTTACGAGCTGGGTGCGGGCCTGACGTGGGCTGTACGGGCTGCGCGACGGCCTGGCGCGGGCTGTATGGGCTTCGCGACGGGCCTACGCGGGCTGTACTGGCAGCTAGGGCGCGGTCAGGGGGGGTCGCATGTGACTAGGAAGGAAAATCGCGTCTAGGGCAGAAAAAGGAACCGTCTCGCCTAGAGCACGGTTTCGAATTTCGCGTTTCTCCTAGGGGCGCGTCTCGGGCAGTAGATCGAAATAGTAGTGGTGGGCCCTTTTAAAAATTCGGTCCTAAGGAGCATTGTGCTCTTACGGTAATACCATGTTAGAATCACTAGCTAGGTGAGGAGTGGGGTTAGGTAAGGGAGAGAGAGTACAAGAGTATCGAGAGAATTGGGTTGTACCCTCTAAGGGATGACCCCTACACAACCTAGAGTGAAATAGACATAGCTCTATGTTTTGACATGTTTCGTAGGTCAACGGCGATGGTCGCAACAGTGGTTGCTGTCGTAGTTGGGCGACCAAGCCCTTGTTCAAAAGGATGTTCCACGCTCCGAGGGTGCATAAAACACTGCAGATATCCGCAAAACCTTCCAATAACATCATTACCCTTTTTTGGGATGAGGCAGCCCTGGACAACTAACTAATTCAGGTGTGAATCAGAGGCACCACCCTGAAAACATTTCACTTCAAGGCCTACTTTCGTAAGTTCAGCAGGGTACGTGGATAATTTGCTGCATTGGTGCAGTGGAGGGTATGGAACAAGCGAGAGCCATGCACGGAGCAAGCCTGACGAGAGGGGCATGGATGCAAGCTAGAGGATGAAAGGGTGACGGGTGGGCAAGGGGCATGCAGATGCGGGGGGGGCAGAAACAAGAAGCACACTGGGGCATAGGTGGCGCAGGCCGGGGCTTACTTTATCAGACATTTTTGGTCTGAATTTCTGGATTCTGAACACATTTTTACTGATTCATCTGATGTCGCAGACATGCTGTTTAATTTCGTCTGATTTTTAAGAGAAGCTTTTTCTATTCATCTGATTTCTCAGACAGCCTTATACAGTTCATCTGAGACTGCAGATATAGTGTCTTTTTCGTCTGAAGGCAAAACTCTCGAAGGATGTCTGCACCTGCCTGGCAGTAGCAGGAGACAAGATTCCAACCGGAAATCTCAGTTTTCACAACTCTCTATTCTACTGGCTGGAGCATTAGGGCTGGTACCTGACTTCCCTATTCATATTTTGATAGTATATTGCTTGCTAGCTTTATATCTTCTCAGAAATCTCAGACAAGTATTTAGGATTCGTCTGAAAAGCTAGACAATGTTACAGCTTTCGTCTGACAATCAGACAAGGAGCCAGGACCCGGTCTTGACATCAGACGGGTCATTTTACTAAAGTTAGCCCGCCGCAGGCTAGAGTAGAGACATGAGTCAGGCAAAGGGGGACGTGGGAACCGGCTTGGGAAAAGGAGGGGGGAGGGAGGGGCATGGGGTGGGGTAGAGCGAGAGGAGGAAGGGGGGAAAGAAACTGTGCAAGGGGTGGTGCATGCTTGTGAGGTGTGCGTGCAGGGGCCAAGATGTGTGGATAAGGAGTGTGGGGTTGGAGCAGGGAAGGGGACAGGCAGGGGAAAGGTGGGGTGTCATAACGCGTGCAATATTACCGTAGGTGGTGAAACTTTGAGCAGCGGGAGGAGCAAGAGCATACACCGTCCTAAGAGAACACCATACCACACCCACATAACCCCACAAATTACACCATAACAAAAGGTACGAAGTTCCTTCTCTTGTACAATACACTATTAACTGGCGTGCGTTGAAGCGTTACGGACCCGCAAAGTAACCAGGGAACAAAATGGGATAAAAAATAAAGGAGGGGAGGGGAGTGGGGAGAGGATGGGGGAGGTGGAAGATATTCCAAGCAGTGCGGTAAACCACATTGGAGACAATACTGGTAATACCAGACCTCGTATGTACATGGCAGGCTTAATTTCTGTTGCCGTTGCTGCAGCCTTCAATGAACGGCACTGTGTCCCAACAATGCACCTGCACACAACACAGAACAACAGCAAGCCAGGTCCGTGATGCGAACTCTCACAGGCAAGTGAGGTGGTGGTAAGGGAAGGCTAGGTTCCAAGGCCGTTGATAGAAAAGAAACAATCGAGGCAGAGAAAACAAAAAGAGTGGGGAATGAACGAGATGGGGGAAGGGGCGGGAGAATGAGAGGATCGGGGGGGAGGAAGGGGGAGGGGAGGGGAGGGGGGGGAGGGGAAGGAGAGGGAAGGGAGGCATGTGGTAACTTTGGAAACCGGCCGCATGAGCACTCACAGGATTGACCGGGCTATTGTTGAGCTTCTCAGCGGCATGAATGCTTGTTCTCCACCTGGTAAGCCTCTGCCTGCGGATACACTCCCCTCCCGCCCCTCCCGCTCCTCCTCCTCCTCGTTCTCCACCATCTCCACTCACACTGCCGCCTCCCACCCTAGCTGCTACCACTGCTCCTTCTGTTCCTGCTGCTTCCTCTGCCTCCTCCGCTTTCCCTAGAACGGTTGCTGCTGCTGTGCTGGGTAGCTGCAAGCACGCCAGTGGCGACTCAGCCTCACTGCATACAAGGCCATTCAACTCAATTAATGAGCACTGCTCCATGCTGCTTGCAGCGGTGGTGCCTGCACGAGAAGGAGTATGGGCATGACCATTAGCATGATCATGGGCATGGGCCGAAATGCATGGCAAGAAGCAGGGTCTCTCAGGTATGAGAGCCGTGTCAGCCGTGGCGTTGGCAGAGGCGGCGGCAGTGGCGGTGGCTGTACCAGTGGTGATGCCGGTGCTTCTCCTGCTGCTACCGCCGGCGCTGATGCTGGTGTGTGTGGCGTGCGTGGTGCGCACAGGGGAATGATCTGAGGGGCAGAGGGAGAAGGAGACGACTTCACAGGGCACCTCGGCCTGGCTTGCAAGGGACACCACCTGCTGTGTGCCCACACCTGCCAATGCTTGCGGTCCCTCCACTGTCACTGCAACCATGGAAACTGTCACTGATACTAGGGCTGCTGATGTAGCAGCAGCGGAAGCGGGAATAACAGTAGCATCGGCAGCAGAAGCAGCAGCAAGAGAAGCAGCAGCCGGAGAAAGAAAAGGAAGAGGAACAGGAGGAGAGGACAAGTGAGAGTCACGTAAAGAGCGAGGGCGGGTGCGTGCACACGACCCCCCCCAATGCCTTTTCCCATGGCTGGCAACGCGTACAGGGCCTGCCACGCCTTTACGGGACAAGTATAGGGACTCGGGGTGTGCTGGAGTGGGCACAGCAACAGCTTCCATGGCACTGCTAGGGTGCTCACTGCTTCTGGGGACAGAGCAAGTGGCAGCACCAGTGGCAGAGGCAGGGGCAGCGCAGGTGCCAGTGCCAGTGGCACCGGCAGGGGCAGAGGGGGCGGCGGAGGTGGCAGCGGCAGTCGGAGAAGCAGTGATAGTGGCAGTGGCAGCGGCAGTGGAAGCGGCAGTGGGAATGGGAGTGGCAGTGGCAGTGCAGCTGGTTGCGAGGGCCAGCAAGTGAAGAGACTGCAACACATCCTCCTCTTCCTCCTCCACATCGCCACACTCTTCTTGTCTCTCCCCACCCTCCTGCTTCTGCAGATCCTCCTTCCCCTTGTCGACTTCCATTGCAGAATCCCCCCCCCAAACCTCAACCTCCTTCCCTTTACCCTCGTGTACCCCTCGCTGTCCCCCGACACCCTTTCCCATGCAACAGCGCTCTCCATTCCCTACTCTGCCCTCTTCCATTTCAGCACCACCACTCTCACCGTCCCCACACTCTCCTCCCCCCATCTTTCCCCCACGCCCTCCCCCACCGAAGCTTCCCCCACTGCGCCTCCTACCCAAGCCCTCCATGAACCCACTCGTTCCTATTCCAAACCCCGCCACCACTTTCCTTTGACCTACTGCTTTCCGTTGCGATGGGAGGAAGGGCCTGGTGCGGGCAGCAGACCCCTCTGCTGCACGTATGCACTCTTCCTGCATCCCCAGCTGTGCTTCAGCATGCACATGGGTAGCACCCAGGATAGCTGGCACTACCACTCCACTGCTTCGTTTCTTCCGCTCGAGCTCAATCACCCCTTCTCCTCCTGCTGCTCCTCCTGCTGCTGTTCCTTCTCCTATTGCTCCGCCTCCTCCTCCTCCTCCTCCTCCTCCTCCTCCTCCTGCCGCTGCTTCTCCTGCCGCAGGGGCATCTCTAACAAAATCTTTGAGGCTCTGTAGCGTGTGCACCTCCTCTGGCCTTGCTCCTCCCAGCTCCGTCACAGCAGCAGCACCCGTCCCTCCTTCGACCCTGCAAGGCACCCACACGCCTTCCTCTCTACTCCCTTCCACCACCACTTGCATCATCAGCCCATCTCCTCCTGCCTCCCTGTTGACCTCTTTCGATGCGTGCCCGCTTGATCGCCCCTTCTGCTTTCCCCACGCCATGAGCACATGGGTGCGTGCACTCCACATGCCATCACTCCCACCTGCACCACCATCATCACTACCAAACTTGCCCGCAACATCGCCCTCTCCCGCTGCTGCTCCTGCTGTTTCACCAAACGCCAGCTCCTCACCTCCAACCCTCATCTCAGCCACTCCTACAGCCTCGACCCCACTCTCCCCTGCAGACCTCCCCGCGCAAGGCCCAACCCGTGACTCTGGAAAGAACCCCACTCGCACCTGCACTCGGCAGTCCCTAGCCTTGCCCTCCCACACTCGCATTCTCGACCCCACAGCCTCCCCTTCATCCCCTCCTCTTATGCCTCCCAACCCCTCGCTTTCTAGGACCGCCACTGCTACACACCCCTCCTCACCGGATTCCCCCTTTTCTAGTTCCTTATTGCTCGAGCTAACCACACACCCGTTTCCTTCACGTTCTTCCCCCCCTACCCCAGCTTGCCTCGCATCCCCCGCTTCCCATGCATTCCCCAGGCCATGGGCACGGTTGCATTCAGTCTGCTGGTCTGGAGACCCATCCGTCATCCCAGCAGCGAGCCCGCATGCAAGCAATCCATGCACAAGCGCACCTCCGCCCCTGCCTTCAACCTCCAAGGGTCCGATACAAGGCTCATGTGCACGCGCCCCCCCATGCCCCTGTGCCGCTGCATCTGCTGCCTCTTCCTCTTGCGCCCACTCAAGCGCATGAGCAGGTGCAGGTGCACATGCGTCTGGGTGAGTATGTGCATGTGTGTGTGCACATGCCAGTGTCACTTGATTCGCATGCCCGTGCATGGCATGACTGGCAGGTATCGCATCGTCCGAGTCCCATAGCGCCACCTCAACAGCAGCACTCAGAGCAAATAACCCGTCCAAACCAGCAGCCCCATCCACTCCACACTTCGCACCCAAACTAGGAGCATCAGCAACCCCAGAGGTCCCAGCCACCCCAGAATTCCCTCCTTGTAAACAGCATTGAAGGGTGTCAGAACCCCCTGCCTCCGTCCCGTATGCCTCGCCTTTCTCCTCCCAACCACACTCCACACCCTTAACCGCCCCTGGCCTGCTTTTCAGCGCCTTGAGTGCATTCTGCCTGGGTCCACACGGCAGAGCACGAGCACAAGAGCCCACGTCCCCCACTCTCCCTCCCTCATCACCCCCCTCGTCGCTTCCACACTTGCGCTCACTCCTACAGCCACTCCTGGTGCTGCTCTCGCCATAACCACAACTAATTGGGATTGCCTTGTCATGACATCGCCTCGTGCTACCCAAGTCCTCGCTCGGTTCTAATAATGCCAACTCTACGCCCCCACTCCCAGACTGCCCGCCAAAAAACCCCTCCACGTCCACGCCTCCCCCCTGCACACTCAGAACAGTACATTCCGGCCCTCCCCCCCACAGCAGCTGCTGCTGCTGCTCCCGCTCCTGCTGCTGCTCCTGCTGCTCTTGCTGCACGTACCCTTGCAGGTGCTGCTGCTCCAGTCCCACTCCGCTACAGTCGTCCAGAGCGAATTCAACCACCACCTGCACTTGCACTGATTGCCCCTCCTCGCCCATCTCCCCGCCGTCACACCCCACCACGCCAACCACCCCCACGTCTACATCCACGCACCCACCACCATCCCCACAGCAAAACCGCTGAATCGCGCCCTCCCTTCCCTCTCCTTCCGCTTCCCCCTGCTCCCCCTCCCCCTCCCCATTCCCCTCTCCATCTCCCTCTCCCACTCCTACTCCCACGCCATTGTTCATAGTAGCAGCAGCATGAGCAGAAGCCAAGGAGTGCTGCCGCATCTTCTCCATTACAAGCTCCTGTGCGGATTGCAGAGGCACAAGAGACTGCTGCGACTCACCAGCAGACTCGCCCACACTGTCACCCACAACCTCGGCCATAAGGTCCCCCAAGGCTTCGACCACAAGGGGAAGGCTAATAGGCACTGCTGCTCCGCGCCCCTGCTCGACTTCACTAGCTTCCACGTGCAGCCGCTTGCTCTGGTCTCCCTTCACGCCCTCTCCTTCTTTGCCCCCTTCTACCACACGCAGTTGCGCTGCCACCACAGGCCCAATCGCCACTGCATCTGTTTCACAAGCCAACGCTTCTGCAGCTGCCGCCGTCCCTGCCGACCCCGCCCCTTCTACTGCTGCTGCTGCTGCTGCTGTATTGGCAGCAGTGACAGGACCAGCGGGACAGATGCTCACACCACTCGAACTAGCAGCCGCACAAGTGGCCACAGCGGCTACGCAGCTCCTGGGATCACAAGGAGCCAGCGCCCCAGCAGCACACATTGCTCCGGCATCAGATAATGCCTCCGGCAGTAACAGCACCTGGCTTACCGCCCCCTCCCCTTCACCTGTCGCTCCTTGTGAATCCTCCCCAGCATGCTGTTGCTGCGTTCCACTAGCAACCAGTCTCTTCCCCTCCCCAATCGTTTCCCCACTATCAGGAAATGCATCACCGCAGTCATAAGGCCCTCGCTTGATAGAAGCCTGCTGCTCCGATGCTTCTTCTTGTTTTGGCCCTGCGTCTCGCCTGCACGTCCCTTCACGCCCCACGCTTGTCTCCCCTGCGGCTTCTGCTTCTGGGCTGGCGTGTAAGTATGGCTGTGTCTCTCCCTTGCGCGTCTGCTCCAGCAGTATTTCGCAATGCTGCTGCTCCGCACCCGAACCAGCATGCTCCTTTCCTGCCAAACCACACGATTCCATCGCCACTCCTGTGTCAACCTCTGCTAAACCCACACCCTCCTCCTTCACAAGACCACCCTCCTTCCCCAAAACCCAGAACCCTCGACAGTCCCCACCCCCATCCCTGCACTCTCCAGCCTCCGCCTTGACCTCTACAAGCCCTGCCTTCGCCTCCTCTTCCCGTCCCACCCTCGCCCGCCTCCCACCATCAAAACCCGCCCGTTCAGCCTGTGACAACCGGGCTAATATTTGCCTCCCTTTCAGCTGCCCTGCCACAGAATGCACTCGGGCCCTTGCACATCCCCTCCCCGCGCCCTTCCCCACCACTGTCTCCTCCGCGCATGCCGCATCCCACCCATCCGCGCCTCTCCTCCGCCCCTTTTCCCTCCTCGTCCGCCTCTTCTGCGGCAGCAACACCAGCCTCTCGTTCCTGCCGCCCTTCCTCCCACTGCCTCCTCCCACCCACACCATCGCACGTCTCCTACTCCCCTCCTGCTCTCTTTCCTTCCCCTTCGTCCCACCCTCCTCCCGCTGCCACAATGACCCGCGATTCCCCCTTGCCACCCCGCCGCTTCCCGTCCCTACCTCGTCACTCTCTCCCTCCTCGTCCCCCTCCCTCTTCCCGTCCCCCCCGACCCCCCCAGCACGGCGTGATTCGCCAGCACTTAAGTAGCCGCCACTTGAATCGCCGCCAGAATCGCTGTGCGACGACTGTAAGCACGCCTGCGGGTCCACGTCTAGCAGACGAACGCCCTCTAGATCTACAGGCGGATCTGGCTCGCATGAGTGGTGGGAGAAGAAGCGCGCTGATAGATGCTGGCAAGGGGGAGTGCACGCGGGCCGAGGAAGGGCATCACGACCGGGAAGGCGGCCAGGAGAACCCATGGAAGGAGCAGCAGCAGCGGCGGGAGCAGCAGCAGCAGCGGCGGGAGCAGCAGCAGCAGCGGCGGGAGCAGGAGAAGGAGAAGAAGACGCAATGGCAGCAGTAGTGGCCGTGGCGATGGTGGCAGCAGGAGAATGAGGCGCAGTGGCAGTGGTAGTAGTAGCAGCGGTGGTAGTCGCGCAAAGAGTGGTGTCGGTTGCAGGGAGGGGATTGTCAAGCAACAACAGGGAGAGGTCAGCAGGGGCTGTGATGCGGAAGTGGCCCACATCCGCCTCGAACATCTGCCATAGGGACAGGGCATGAGCCTGTAGAAAGACCAGATATAATGCAAAAAAACAGGAGGTATAGGGCTTAGGGTTTTTTTTTCTTGAGACGCACTGGTGTGTATCTGGTGGCCAACTCAGGAATCTGGGTTTCTTTATTCTGCATGGATGTTGTGACAAACAACACATGCGACTGTCCAGGAGCAGCAGCAAAAGGAGCTGGTACGAGTGTAACAGAAGGCTAACAGCAGCTCACACTTTCGAGGCATTTTCGAGACATTTCGAGGCGTTTCGAGACATTTCCGAATGTGTGCTGCCAGGAGGGAGGCAGCAAGTGGTGGGAGGCAGGTGGCTTACTCGGAGGCAGTATCCGGCGGGGAGGCAGCGTGTGGCATCGGCAAACACAGCGCGCACATCGTCCACGAACGATGGCGGGTCCGCGTAGTACCCCGAGCTCAGCCGCGCCTGCCATGTGCAGGATGGCGCGACGTGGGAGTGGTTTTTTCGAGCATGACATACAACATGTGGAGAACGGGCGGGACGTGTCAGTGGAGTGTTGAGTTGAGGCGCGTAGAAGATCGGATGGTGATATGCACGAAGTGGGGTTCAATGCAGGAATGGCCGCTCGCCTTCCAAGAGGCCGGAACATTAATGTGTGGGTTGGGGGTGTGCGAACGGGGGGCGGGGGGAGGAGAGGCAAGATGGAGGGCAAAACAATAGCAGGAGAAAAACGCGACAGGGTGGGTTGAGGATGGAGACGGGTGGGAGGGACGGGTTGGGGTCGGAGATGGGTGGGGACGGGGTGGGGATGGGGTGGGGGTGCGCTGAGGATGGGATGGGGATGTCGTGGGGCGAGGTGGGGCGAGGTGGGGCGGGGTGGAGAGAGAGAGAGAGACCTGTATAACGGAGAGGTCTGTTGGGCGGTCGACCGTGGCAGCATAGCAGCGCCGGGCATCTTCCGGCCAGAGATCCGAGGACGCCACTGGTGAGCTGAAGAAGCTGCCGATGCTGGTGATCGGTGAACGAACACAAGGGCGGGGAGGAAGCAGCACAACACGCAGCTGAAAACGTATTATGACACCAGCACTGGAATTTAAAACGGGTGGTGCGCTTTGGTCAAGCGGAAAGGCCTGCGGAGCAGACGAGGGCACGAGGCGACCATGTAGGGTGACCCACCAGCCAGCCCCTGTAGTCCCCCCCAAAGACACGGACCTGTGGTTCCTCAGGCGCAGCAGCAGGATGGCGCATCGCTGCAGGTCGCTCATTTCACAGTCATCGTCAGCTGCAGCGGCAGCGTCGTCCTCTCGCCGACCCCCCACGCCCGCATATGCATACTTCCCATGCCTCTGCCGCTGCTCCTTCACGTGCTGCTGCTGCTGATGATGTTGCTGCTGCTGCTGCTGCTGCTGCTGCTGCTGCTGCTGCTGCCGACGTCGCCTCTTCGCGCATGATATAAGCGAGATGTCCTGCTAACAAGTGCGAGGAACGATAGCGGGTTCAAGAGGGAAGAAACGCGAGGAGAACTCACTAGGTGCTGCCATGAAAGAACGCCAAGATTCCACATCTGCAACTTTCAGAGGACTCTTAACCATAAAAGCTAACCAGTCTCGCCACCCCTTGCTCCCACTAACCGCCCACCCACCTACGCTTTCCCTTCACCTCTATTGACCCTACAAGCAAGCCACACGTTAAACCTCTCCCCCTCTCCCCTTTCCCCCTTGCCCTCTCCGTTCGAGCACCGCTTTCCAACTATTCCCACGCTTTCCATGGGCTACAGACCGCTCTCCTTCATTGCGGCGTTAAACCCAACACCCCCTCAGACACCCGACAGACCTAAAACGCCACAGAACCGCAAGAGGCAAAAACTAGGACACAAACCCCTCATCGAATGAAGATGACCCACCTGCTCGATCTCCTCCAGTTGAAGGGTCACTTGGCAGAAAGGCCGCTTGTAACCCCACCGCTTCTCCTTCCCCTTCCCCCCCCCGGCTGCTGCTGCCCCCCCAGCCACCTCCTCCATTACTGCCACGTCAGCCACTTCCGCGTTCGTGGGACCCGCAGTCACTGCAGGCCATTGGATGGCGCGAGCGCACTGCCCTTGCACTTGAAGCGAGAAATCTGTCGGGATAACCGAGGTGCTAATAACGCCTAGCGCGTATGCCTGTGTCGCTCCCTGCGCGGGCACCGCGGGCCTGGCCGACACGGATGCGTTACAAGCAGACGCGGTATACGCAAAGGAGGTAGAGAGGCCTTCTTCCGCTACGACCTGGAGGGCAGCTCTCGGTCTCCTACGGCTGTACCTGCATGCCAACCGTGCCAGGCGCGTAAACCCTCAGCCTCGACCATGCATGGGGGGCCAAAAAAAAACACACACAAACACAAGGAGGTGTCACGACAAACTTACACATATTGAGGGAGGACGTCGATAGTTGATGCGGCTGCGGCGGAGATTTCTGGCCCACTCTGCTCACAAGCATTATCGCCTGGGCTATCAGTCGAAGGATTCTTTTCCTTTATCCCCACAGTTTCCTCTGGTTCAACTGGCCTAGCCACCACCACCGTCGGCTCCTCTACACCCTGAACCTCGTCGGCAATGGGCTTGGAACACGGCTGCACCTGGAGAATGATACTGTTTTTTCCCCTTTCCGACGTAACCTCCGCTGGATCGATAGGAAAGTCGTCAACAGCGTCCTCTGCGCCGCTGCAGTCGGTTTCTGTGCGAACGCTCTCGCTGTCGCCGCTGCAAAGGCTTTCTTCGTCGGAAGTTTGCCCGGAGACGGTCCCGAAGTCGACGGCCAGAAGCTCCCAGGGCTCACTGCGGGATGGGAGCGGTGATGATGAGATGATGATGATGAGAGAATGCTGATAAGAACGACAAGAGACTTCATCAAGAGAAGGCTGTTATGGGAAACAGAAAACGCATAACCCAGACCAGAAAGCTCGTTCAGGCCAGAAATTCCCCAAGCTGAGCGATAAAAACCGTATCTGAGAAACGCTCATATCCCTTGGATTCGCCAAGCTGCTATGACGGTTGCAAAGTAGCTGCGGAAGTCAACTAAAGAGTAGAATGTGCGATGTTTCGCGTACCACATGCAATCTGGGGACCATATTGAGGCGGCTGGTGGAGCAGGTGTCGCCAGGCTGGCATGAAGAGCCATGGCGTCGGGACAGACCAAGACAGAAGCAAAGGCACGAAGACGGCACGCGGTGTGATGCAGCCAGCTCGTGACGAAAAGTAGGTCAATCGTAGCAGAAAGCTCAAGATGTGCGAGCCAGACAGAGATGCCGCAATGTCAATCTACATCCTGACCAAATTCTGAGAAACAAATGTGGAGGGAAAAGGCTAGCAAACGCAGATGAATGCCAGCAAAGGGGTGCCTGCCACTGCTGTTTCAAACCCTACCACACCAGTCCAGGGGGTCACTTGACGGAAAACTAATCTCAAGGCGGAAACGAACCAGTAGGTTTGGAACCTTGGTCATGTCCGACTGGCCTGAGCGAGCCTTTAGAGGTTCGTTTGGAAGGTGCTAAACACGGGCACCAAGGTTCGACAGAAGTACGAGCCAAACGTGTGTTGCGTACTAGGTTTCGGTTCGGTCTAGAAGGAACGATATACTGTAGCCCCTATGTGGTTCAAACGGAGTGGGGACGAGGCGCAACCAAATGTTTTGCAACCGTCTTCTGGAATGAGAAGGGCCAGAGCTGAGGTCATTCAGCCCATCCGATTTGACAAGCAGATCCCATCGTGTTCCCTTGCAACATGCCGTAAGACCTTTGGGCCTCTATCCAGAAAGCAAATTCTGGCAGGACGAAAATCTCCTAAGCCAATAGTGTGCGTGAACGGAGGTGGAGGAACCTCATCTACAGTAATTTGGAACCAGAGGTGTAGGAGGAACTTTTCGGCTCGTACTGTATGATCCATTCCTTTCGTATACAGTAGCGTATTGGTGGAGTGGCGTGGTTCAACAGCAGATACAGACACCCACAACCCAACGACCTCCCTCGGAATCTGTGGGGTTCTGCCGCTGTATCCAGGATTGTGTGGAAGTGACCCATCCAACCGCAAAGTCACATGCGGCTTCCAGAGATTTGATTGGAGGGAGCGATCCTCATCCGCCCTACGTGGAAATCTACCATCCGATTGGTTCTTGAACAGAGATAACTTTCCTAGATGGCGAGTTCCCTCAGCAGTCATCCTGACATGGGGTCAGCAGGTCGGACTCACCGATAACCACGCTGAAGTCAAGGGGTGGCATTATTTGAACGACATCCACACATCAGGGGACCACGTGCTCAATGCACTACCGCACATTGGGCAGTTCCATCAGAGCGTGAGATCGTCTTGATATACACACGATGCCCGGTTGAGCCCCCCGACCTTGCCTTATGGCGTGTACAAAGTGCTGCAAAAACTCGACGTCGAGAACGTCGGTGAATCCTGACGGTTGGAAGTTTTTATCCGACGGTCGAAATTCACCGACCTTCCTCGACGTCGAGCTGGTGCAGTACTTTGAACACCCTTTTACCCTCTGGGCTTATAAGCGATTCTTGCATTTCGCGAAGGTTTGTCAATTCGCTTCGGGCAAAAAGGGCTTATAAAAATTTTCGTAACTCACCGTTGACTGTTTGACTGCAGTCTCTTCAGTCAGACTTCAGTTTCTGTGGTTCGTATTGGTCGACGTGCTTGTACCGTGGGTGCAACCTCACGGCACAAAACCCACGGGTGCAAGGTTTCCATCCGGTGCAAGGCAATTTCGCTTGCAGGGGGTGAGCATCATGTGTACTGCTTGGCGAGGAAACCACACATGCGCATGTACTGACTTGAAATTTTAGGCCCCTTGGCCTAAATCCGCTAAGATTAGCGGGGTCAACTAAGTCTAGGACGAAACGCGGAAGACTTTGGCGAAAGAACTATTGGCGAAATAGGCAAATGAGTTACTGAGTAATGGGGGAGTTGAATGAGAATTGGCTGATAATGGCGAGTACTAGCAAGGTTTAAGTAGCATGCAAGAGCGATTGTTTGAAAGTACTTTGTGGGACTAGAAAGTAGAAGGCAAGAAAGCAAGGGTGCCACGTGACACTATGAAATCTTGGAAATCTTGGATGAGTTGGATGAGGATAAGGTTGGGATGAGGTTGGGGAACTGTTTAGGGTAAAATACCCTTGAACAGTAAAGTTCCCCGTAACACTACCCCCCTCCCAAGGAGGCGACATCCGCGGTGCCTGCAGACTGAAGGAATGCTTGAAGACAAGCGTTGTCGGGAGACAACGAGGACGAAGGAACCCAGCTGTTGTCGGCTGCATCGTAACCATGCCAACGAACCAAGAAGTCGATGAAAGAGATACCCCCCTTGAACACGGCGACGGTGCCTGAGGATGCGCTGGTTCTGGTAGTCGGGCTCGTCGGTGTCAACAGCTTCCGGCAGTGGAGTGCGACCACGGCCCGAGAAGGTGGCGTTGGGATCGGTGTAAGGACAAAGAAGCAACACACGGAATGACGGGGGCATGCGAAAATGAGCGGGAAGGCGAAGGCGGTATGCGACTAGTCATAGTGCACGCTCAATGACGAATGGACCAATGAAGCGAGGACGAAGCTTGTTGTCCTGTGGAAGTCGGAGGTTGCGGCTATCCAAAAGAACACGGTCGCCGACTACGAACGACACCTCACGACGACTACGGTTGGTGATGCGTGCCATGCGTGCATTTGCGAGCTCAAGGTGCTTCCTCACGTGATCGTGGATGAATGTGAGATGCTAGTGGAAGTTGTCCGCACGAGGGACTGTGGGTGTGAGATCGACACGAGTGGGGACATTGGGGTGCTGACCATACAGTGCGAAGAATGGTGACATGCCTGTGGCGGAGTGGTGCGTGTTGTTGTAGGCGAACTCTGCCATGCTCAGCTTCTTGTCCGAAGTTGTTGTGTCGTGCATCGTGATGCTGCGAAGAATCTGCTCCAGAGTCTGGTTCACGCGCTTAGTCTATCCATCTATCTCTGGATGGTACGCAGATGACATGGCTAAGCGAGTTCCAAACAGTGCAAAAAGTTGCTTCCAGAACTACGTTATCTACGAACAGTGTCGCGACTTCCTCTGCTGTAACCTTGCCGTGCGTTGGGATGAAGTGCGCTGCTCGAGAAAACTTATCCACTACCACGGAGATAGCGTCGTGACCCCTAACTGTGCGCGGTAATGTCATGATGAAATCCATGGTAACAACCTGCCAAGGGCGGTCGGACGGTGGAATCGGCTGCAAAAGTCCTGCCTTGCACTGGCGAGACGACTTTGTACGCTGACACGTGTCGCACAAGCGAATGTAATCCTTTACGGTTGCTGCAAGCCCTGGCCAGTAGTACGTGCGACTAAGCGTCTTAACCGTCTTATCTGCTACGAAGTGCCCTGCACTAACGACGTCGTGTGCCTCGGAAAGAAGAAACTGTCGAAGAGGGCGGTAGGCTGGAACCCAAATCCGTGTGGTACCATTCTTAATGTAGACACTACCCTGCACCTCCGCTCCTGCGGGCGGCTGCGGTGTGAAATCGGGATCTACTGTGTAACCGTGCTCGAAGAGTGCTGTGAGAAGTGGATGGCCGGCAGTGACTGTGAGACTAGCGAGTTGGCAACTAGGGTGAGTGCGCGGATCTGCTGGATTGCGCACGCCTGGCTGGTACTCTATCCTGTAGTGAAAACTCCCCTCCATAAACTCCATCCACCTAGCCTGGCGACGACTCAGCTGCGGTTGCGATTTGAGGAAACGAAGCGAGCAATGGTCCGTGCGTATAACACTATCTGCCCCCTCTAGGTAGCACCTCCACACCTTATAACACGATCGGCTGCAACCCATGTACCTGGTCCTGAAGAAGCACTGTTCCTGTGGCTTGATCTGAAACGTTGGTCACTACAACGTATGGGCGAGTGGGATCAGGGTACGACAGTGTCGGTGAAGACGTAAGCGACTGCTCCATCTGCTCGAATGCCTCCTGCTACGCTGGACCCCAAAGAAACTATACGCCTTTCCGAAGTAGGTCGGTGAGTGCACTAGCGATCGATGCGTAACCCTGAACGAAACGACGGTAGTAATTCGCGAAACCGAGGAAGCTCTGCAGTTCCTTGACTGAGGTCCATGTTACCAAATCCTGTACCGCTGCGATCTTCTTCGGGTCGGTCCTAATGCCACTAGCGGATATGACGTGTCCTAGGAACTCGACCTCGGGGAGAAAGAATTTGCACTTCGACTGCTTAGTGTACAGCTGCTCCCTCCGTAAGACCTCGATGTCCTTCTGCAAGTGCTGCACATGCTCCTCTTTCGTCTTGGAGAAGACTAGGATGTCGTATAGGTAAACTACAACGAACGACCCTAGGAACTCGGAGAGGACCGTGTTTATGAGCGTCTGAAACGTCGCTGGGGTGTTGGTCAAACTGAACGGTAGAACCCTAAACTCGTACAACCCCTGCTTCGTACGAAAAGCCATCTTGTGCTGGTCCTCTGGAACTACTCGAATCTGATGGTAACCCGAACGAAGGTTGATGTTTGAGAAGATTCAAGCGCCCTGCGCTGCATCTAGGAGATCCTCTACTCTCGGTACTGGGAATCTATTCTTGACGGTGGTGGCGTTCAGTGCGTGATAGTCTATGCACATCCGCAACCCTTCGTCTTTCTTAGGCGCGAAAAGGATCGGTGCTGCCCAAAGGGATCTAGAAACCCTGCGCGAGAAAGTGCCTAACCTGCTGCGTCATCTCCTCTGTCTCTGCTGGACTCAACCTCCACTGCGGCTTTACTACTGGCCTGCTCCCTGGCTCTAACTCTATCCGATGGTCGACTGCTCGGCTAGGAGGTAACCATGGGGGCAACTCGTCGGGGAAGACGCCTCTAAACTTCGCTAACAGTGCACTCACCACAGCAGGAAGAGTTGCCTTCTCACCTACTACTGCACTCCCTCCTTTCCCCTCCTCAGCTTCCACCTCCTCAAGGAAAACCGCGAAGATCCGTGCTGCTCGCTTCACCATCTGCCGCACACGAATAGCATGGATGATGGCTGTGGAGGATGTGGCCCCATCACTCCACTGTGGCAGCTCCCGGAACTCCCTGTCTACCTTGACGCTGCAGCTTCCATGAGCCGAATCAAACTGTGTACTAACCGTACATAGCCAATCTCTCCCGA